TAACAATAGCAAAGGCAAAGAATCAACATAAATGTCCACTGATGGATGAATGGATAAAGAAGATGTGGTATATACTATGGAATATTATTTAGCCATGAAAAGGAAATCCTGCCATTTGTGACAACATGGATGAAACTCAAAGGCATTATGCTAAGTGAAATAAGTCAGACAGAGAAAGAAATACTACATGATCTCACTTATACAAGGAATCTAAAAATGTTGAACTCATAGATACAGAGAGTGGATTGATGGTTTCCAAGGCTGGAGACTGGAAAAAAACAGAGGAAATGTTAGTCAAAGGGTACAAACTTTCGGTTATAAGATAAATAAGCTCTGGGGATGTAATGTATAGCATGGTGACTCTAGTTAACAATTCCGTGTTGTATACTTGAAATTTGCTAAGAGAGTAAATCTTAAATGTTCTCACTACACAGAAAAAGAAGGTAACTATGTGAGTGAAGAATGTATTAACTGATCTTATTGTGGCAATCGTTTCATAAAAAATGCCTATCAAATTAAAAAAAAAAAAGGAATTTAAAAGTAGTAAAGGGATATTCCCCAAAATAAGTGGTACTCTGACCTATAGAATCCCCTCTAAAGTTTTAGGATCAATTTTACTCATGAAGAAGGAGGTAGGAATAAGTCTATCTAGAAATGGAGAGTTGGAACCAGACTTCAAGCGTCCTCCAGCCTTCAGAAATTTATTTCATTAACATCTCTCTGCTCACACAAAGTACAATGTGCATATTCCTGGCTAGTGGGTAGCCTTCTGTGTGGTCATATGAAACCCAGGCCCCTTCTATTTTGCGACTGTACCACCTCTTAGAGCCTCAGAATTCTTTGCTGGATCTAGTGCATCCAGTGAGCACATAGGGAGAAAGGGAGTACAGAGGATCATGTGGAACAGAAGTCCCCAACCCCAGGGTTGTGGACCAATACTGGTCCGTGCCTGGGCCACATAACAGGAGGTGAGCGGCAGGTGAGCGAGTGAAGCTTCATCTGTATTTGCAGCCACTCCCCAGCACTAGCATCACTGCCTCAGTTCCACCTCAGATCATCAGGCATTAGATTCTCATGGGAGCACCGGTCCCAGGTGCCAAAAAGAATGGGGACCGCTGATGTGGAAGCTTACGAGCCAGGCAACATTGAAATGAAAATGTCATTTAGAACAAATGTCATTTAGTTCTGCTATAGTCCATAGGGCAGAACTTGGTCACATGGCCACATCTAACTACGAGGGAGACTGGGAAATGCAGTCCATCTCTGTGCCGGGGAGGCAGAGGAAATCATGTTTGGTGAATGCAACACAGCCTTTACTAGAGCTCAATAAATAGTCGCTAAAAGCATATGACTTCACATGCTCTGTGCACCTTGCTAGGACCTGAGATGAAAAAGACAGACTCTGCCTTTGAGTAGAAATGCTTTGTGTCTATTCTACCACATCAGGGGCTTTGGTTTGAAAGAGACATATGGTGGAGTCATAAGGAGATTTCTTCACTCACATGCTAGGGCTTTGATGGGAATGGTTGGAAGCCTGAGTTCGACACTGTAGAATGTTTAGCAGTGACCCTGCCCTCTACCTACAAGATAACAAATGCAACCCACCTACCCACTCGTGGCAACCAAAATGCTTGACTTTGCTGATATTACCTGTAGGACAAGCATCTCCTGTTGGAGACAGTTGAGGGACAGTGTACCTTGAGTCTGAAACTTAGCCAGGACTGGAGAATGACATTGCAAATCATCAGCCTGTAGGTCATTAGAGCCACTGCGATCTATAAGACATCTTTGGATATTTGGAATGAGATAAGTGCGTCAAGGTTGGAAGCACAGACCCATGTTGAAGGGGGGTAAGGAGAAGAGAGAACATTAAGAAAGCTGAAAAAAATCAAGAGATAGTAGAAAAGCCAAGAGAGAAAAGAAAAAGTGGTGCAGTGGCTATTGCTGACGTCTGCCCAACACCTTATCTCCTTTCTCTTAGGCCCATCTTCTGGGCCACAATGACTGGTCCGTGGATGGGCACACTACACAAAGATATGCCAAGTAGTCTTTCCCTGTGATTTTAATCTTGAACCTCGAAGCAAAATGCTTCTTCTCTTTTGTGTCCTTATATTGGAATGTTGTAAGCCCAGAATTGCCTATGGCATGCTCCCTGCTCATGGCAAAGCTTTAGCTGAGTAGGTTTAGATGTGCCATGAGTTGATAACGACCACCTGTGCCTTGCAACGCAGGAAGACGCTCTTAAGGGGAGTTAGTGGAAGCTTCCTAAGGCATCTATAATCCTAAAGTCTTCTCGGCTATTTAACTGTCAGTTAGTGCTTTTCTGTGGAACCATAGACGACCAGGGAAGCTGCACCAAAAGCATCCCTTTCATGCTGTCTTCTGAGCTAGCTT